TGGGACGGGGATTCGAACCCACGACCCTCAGATTGTGAGTCAAGCGCCCTAACCACCTGGCCATGCCGGACCCGGTATAATGGAAGAGCTCAACTTCTCCCGGGTGTCCACAGTTCACACGCCTATAATTTAAGCATTTAGAAAACTTACTAAAGCTTTTATTCGGCTAAAGTTTGTCAGTCATTTATTATAATAAAACTATTTTTACTTTTACAAAATTACCTCACATTAAAGACGTAAAATTTAATTCGCGTCATTTCATTTTCTGTTAATAATAAGACTTGTTTCCTCTTAACTGTTGACTAAGTCAGTAAATCTACATGTTTACAAAGCAGAAGTTGTGCGTGTGTCCGCTTTTCAAACCTCACTTTTTGACCGATTTCAACCAAGTTGACATTCGCCCTTGCCCCCCCCCCCCTCAAGAGCGTCACTTCCCAGAGTCCGAATTCATTCCTGATACTTTTTCTATTAATCTCTACACGCCTGGTGGAGGGACATTCGGATATTATCCAGTATATTACCTCCCAGATGCCTCTATGTGTTCTCCGTACTTAAAAGACATCCTTAGGACATCCCGAGGAGTAACACAGAGAGTTGACATTAAAATCTTACTCTCCCATATCGTCCCCAAGGGCCCCTTCAGCTTTTGACCGATCTCTACCACACCTGACATGCACTCTTGGAGTCCTCCAAGAGTTACACAGGGGTTTCAGCATTCGAATCTGTTCACCTCTGTCACCCCTCGAAGCCCCTGTGTGCTACCCGTACTATTCTCTTAATATCTACCAACCTTCGAAGGCATCCTTAGGGCTAACCGTGCGTTGAACGGATACGTCAGCCATTTATAATATATATATATATAATGATACGTAATTACAATTCGGATGGCCTAAAACTGAGTTAAATTGTAATTTGGTTTTAGTAGTTAAATAAATGCCAATATGTATCCAATTTGTGATATTTGTGAACAAGATTGATACACACGGTTTTCTTTTTTAATACAAATATGTTTTTATATACAAACAACAATACAATTTACAATAACAGTTATTACAAACAACAATACAATTTACAATAACAATTATTACGAACAACAATACAATTTACAATAACAGTTATTACAAACAACAATACAATTTACATTAACAATTATTACGAACAACAATACAATTTACAATAACAGTTATTACAAACAATGATATATATATATACAAAAGTTTTACAAACTTACAAGTAATTCAAAGTCTTCTTTCTAGTCTGGAACTTCCTTGATGTTTTATCGAGGGTTCACTATGAGCGAGTTAATTTCGAGTTGACGTAGGTACAATTCACTTAATAGGGAGCTACCTAGCTCTATATTCTTCGCCGATTTTTTCTACCGATGACGTTAGGTAATGTTTTCATAAAAGTACTAATGTCCTATATGAATCCACTGAAGTTAAATGGTTTGTAATGTTCGAACTTTATAAACGTTGCTGGTCAAATATCTTAAGCTTCCCGATTAATAAGCATTATAACAATCATAGTTAGAGCTTCCGAAGTTTGTAGCTCACCAACTATAGCAAACCAATAATAGATACTGTTTTTTAGGCGCGTCGCGTTGGTTATATATATAGGTGTGTGGAGAGTTTCTCGAAAATTCAGATTACGTAACAATACAAAGCTACACTAGCGTTTACGTACACACATATTGTTGATTCTTACACTCGAGAATCTTCTGCAACTTTAGAGAATAGGCGGGAGTTTCGCAATACATATATACTTATCAGTATGTGTTATGTACATTTCTAAATATAAATTTAATTCAAACAAACATCGATATTAAAATAAATATAGAATAATAAATCCGTCACAATAAGGAACTGTGGAATTTTAGAATTTATTTCTCTTTAAATTGATTTAATGATGTTAAGTTAATGCAAGTCATAAGATTTACAGTACATTCAAACGGATTACATAAAAAAGTAGTGTGTGCTATGAACCATAAGAAAACACTCTACACCATAACATTTACAAGTCCATTCAAAGCGAATTACTTTAATGTCATCTGTGCTATGATCTATAAGAAAATACTACACATTAAAGCTGCTTTTCATCTAAAACTGAATATATTGTAAGTCTATGAAAGTTATACGTAAGATTAGGTTATCAAGTACAATACTTTTTATTCTCAGGCAGTTATATATATATATAACCTTAATATACATGGTATTCTAGAATACTTTTCATTTGTTATAAAATTTTAAAATTAAATAAATCATTTTATTTCAAAGGGAATGTATGTTTATTTGTATTCTCCAAAATTTTAAGATAGGTTTTACTGTTACCCGAAAGAGGTTGTAAACCTTGCTAACTCTAATATATATATATATATATATATTGTGTATGTGTGTAGCTATGGTATTGATAACTTATGCAAAAAATAAAATAATTAATTATGTTGGTTTATTGTCGGCTTTAAACTGACGACCACAGACTTTCTCGGAACCTTAACCCTATTCAGTTTCAACTGCAGCGTTACGGTTACTAGATACATCTGTTCTTTTAGTCTAGATTAAAGTTAGACAAATACAAAGGCTTTTCATTCTAAGTACTTGTTCGTTATGTTCTAGCTGTCTACAGCTAATGTAAATAACTTCAAATGTGAAAGGTTCTCGTGTATTTTGACATTAGTGGAGATTTCAATGAGCCTGACATTCACGATTCAGAGCCGTACCCAATGATCAAATACGTCATGCTGCCGCCGCAAGTACGATGAGTAATATTATTACCTCATGATTTTATTAAATTCATTATATTCCACACGATATTCTCCAATTTACTTCACTGATGTGAAAGTTGGAAGACTAACACTTAACCTTGAACCCAGATTATTTTACTTCATGTAAGTTCTAAGTTGTTTTTTTTTACTGTTTTTGCTGTTCTCCTCAATAACAAAGTACATTTCTTATTACTAAGTACACCTCTAAATAAATTGATTTTGCGAAAGATCCTGAAATAAGCATGTTTAATCGGTTCTTTGAAAGTTCGTTAACCTCTGTAGTCTGAAAAACAGGCAAAAAAAAACTGATAGAACTGCATGAAAAGAATTTGTGTAAATAATAGCTGAAGAAACTTGAGAGCTCTCTTTTTCAATGTATATATTTGATTCAACTCAGTTGGTAAACATGGGCTTGTGTTTCGAACAAAGAAAGGCATTTTCAGAACTTAAGTAGAGCATCT